GTCAAGAATATTATAAGCTTGCACTCAAATTTGTCTGCAAATTTGAAACTCAGGTCACTTCTGTGATTCACTGAATACCTAAAAACAATCCCAAACAAACACAGAACCAATGATCTGTGACTCCGTGGTTTGTTACTTCAAGTAACAAACACAGACCTGCAAAGAGGTGAAGGGCTTCTCAGTGCAAGAAAGACAAGGAAATACCTGACAGGGTCCAGAAAAGGCCACAAAGATGATTTGGGGTCTGGAGCATCTCTTATGAGGAGAAACTTTGGGAGCTGGGCCTGTTTAGTCTGGGCAAAAAGTGAGGAAATTTCATTAATTAATATTATAAATATCTCAAAGGTGGGTGTCAAGAGGAAGGTGCCACACTCTTTTCAGTGGTGCCCAGTGATAGGAGAAGCAGTGGCCATGAACTAAACCACAGATAGTTCCACCTCAATACGAGGGAGAACCTTCTATTGAAGACAGCAGAGCACCCAGAGCTGCCCAGAGAGGTCATGGAGTTCTCCCTCTCTGGAGATGTTCCCAACCCACTTGGATGGTTCCTGTGTCACCTGCTCCAGGTAACCCTGCCTGGCAGGGGGGTTGGTCTGGATGATCTCTAGAGTCCCTTCCAACTCTAACAGTTCTGTGATTCTGTGAAAACAGTTTTAACAGACTGGTAAATAGAAAGATTTAGTTTAGAACCACATATGATCTAATGACACAAGCCTCCAAACAAGCCAACAGCAGCAAAAGATATGTCTCCAGAATTATGTTCTACTTTTCTAGGTTTCTCAATAGCTCCTCTTATACTTTCTAGGTTGTTTCCTATTAATTGCAGCTTAATGAATCATTAGGTACTGCACTGTAAAGCTGTGATTGCAGTGTGTAGTAGTGAGTATATGCAGAAAAATGCTGCAGAGTTAAAAGGAACTCTTTGCTTTTAGAATCACAGGAGTTATCAGAAAATTGAAAATTTAGTATTTGGAAGAATTCTTACATTAACACATAAGCATAAAAGCAATTTCTTCCGTCATGTGATTTACTATTGACAGGCAGCAAAGTCAGGCTCATTGTGGCAGACAAACTTGAGGGTTCTATTCCAGCTTCCACTGCCTGGCGATTGGCAGAAAAATGCAAGGCAAACCCAGCTGCTCGCTATGTAAGCACAGCCAGGGATAGCTGCTCTTGAGCCAAGGGGAATTTAATGCCTTTAATGCCTAATAACTGTCTCCTCGCTGAGGATTCAGAAGCAGCTCTAAGGAACAGAGGAAACCTGGGGGCTAGTTCATATCTACCCCAGGGTATATGGAAGAGTGGAAAGGACTATGCATCCATTGGGGAGAAATCGTTAATAGAGTGGTTCTTTCCTCAGGACTTGTGACATTACTACACAACTAACTGGCAGGGCTTTGCAGATGCAGTGGCCATCTCAGTCATGCTTGAAGCGTACAGAATTAAAGCAGTTATACATACTTGTCTGTGTGACAATTTGCTGGGCCAAATTTCAGTGTCTGAACCAGCAGCCTGTGGCTTAACAGCAGGCTGGTATGTGTGAAAATGTGTAAAGAATCAAGTATTATAAACTAAAACCAAAGTTTTACAAAGGGGTGTTGCAGAAGGCTGAGTCCCTGGCTTCCTGGAGGGAGGCTGACAAGGTGAAAGTGAAATGGCATGTTATTATGGCATGTTTAGTTTCAGCCTGAAACTAAAGGTTGTCTTATTTCTAGTAGGTATAAGCTCATACTAAAGTAAGATCACCTTGGAAGAAGAAGACTGAAACCATTTTGCAGTGAATGGAAAGTCCTCTCAGATTATTGTCAAGCACTTCTACAGCTTGCTGCCAAAAGTAGGTTCAGAGAAAGCAATGCACTTGTCCCCCTATTTTACTTCATATCAGTGGTGTTCTGTGGGGAGAAAGTGTTTTTCTGTCAGCAGCTATAACATTACTTCACATTTTGACAACTCCAAACAACCTCCCACCATGCCTGAGGTTTAACCTGAACAGCATGCTTTCAGCATCTTGTAACACCTCAGATGACAGGGGTGGCTGTGGTGCTGTGAGCAGCTGTGCAGTGGAGTTACTCCATGGTCACCTTCTCAATTCCAGTGTAATTAAAAACATCAACCCCACAACCATGTGCCGCTTCTACAGCCAGAAATGGCATTGCTCAGCAGGGCCATCAGGAATGTGAAATAAACACCTCTAGCAGAAGAGAACTTCAGTTCCTATCATTCAGTCCATAAAATAGCTAGTGCTGGGACAGATTCTCAGATTTTATACTCTCTAGCCAGATTTTCATGTGTAAGAAACCTCAGGGTGAGCAGTGTTATTGCTGCTGTCATCAACCATCTGTTCTGCACTTGGGAAGCCCTTACAATGCCTGGCTACTCTAAAGACTGCTGCAGTGGTGATCTCTGGCTTTGCAGCACCTCTGACAGAACAGGCAAGGCAGAAAACAGCAGAATAAATATGAAGTTACAGGACACCTAAACCCTAAGGGAAGCAAAACCACATCAAGGTTTAAGAATTGGGATTAGGGCATTTTACAAGTGTCAGGGATCCACCAGGGAGATCTAATCTTGCCTCAGTGGAGCAATGGAAGCACAAATACTTCTATGACAGGCCATTGCTTTTTCTTGCAGATAATGGTGAATGTGCCTGTCTTTGGCAGGATGTCTCCTGGCCGCAAGTCCAGCCTTGTTGAAGGGTTTCAGAACTCAAATAAGGGTCCCTTTTTTTTTCTGCTGGAACCAAATCAGTAATGTATTTTCTTGAAGTGTGATTATCCCATCTAGTGCTGCTCCAGGCTGATCGTTTCCACCTTCCCTTTCTTCACAAGCAATCCCCTTCTGCATCCTTTGCAGCTGCTTTTCTTCCAGGTGCCTTACAAGCATCCCTCTGCATCTGGAGTACCAGCACCCCTCACCCAGACAGAGCCACTGCCTCTCTCCAGCACAGCACAGAAGGCAGCACCAAATGAGGCTGAGAGAAAAACCCCAAGGCAGACCCCCACATTTACGAGTAGCCCAAATTCCAGCAAATCCTCCAAGGCTGCTGGTGCTGTCCAGCAGCCTAGCAGAGCTGAAAACAACCTGGAATACTTTGGGGGTTTGACCCCAAAGATGCTTCTCCGGGTTCCCCAAAGGATAGCTTTCTCCCCCAGAAATGATTCTTACTAATTATGGATATTGCATTTTAAGCATAAACAAGACACGACACCTTTCTGAAAAAGCAACAGTTAATTATTTATTAATTGCAAGGTGGGAAGGATATTTTTCCATCTTGTGACTGCCATGGATTTCAGGCTTTGAAAGTGATCCATGCAGTGATGTCGCTGTTAGAACAGGAGGTGTCTGTGACCTCATCTTTCACCTCCCAGGTCCCCAACCTCCACTGTCTGCTGGAGCTGATCAGGTGAGTTTGGTCATGGGGTACTACTGCCTGCTCTGAGCTTGGTGTATGGGGCTGTGACTGGGAGAGCACAGCTCTCAAAAGTGTTGATAAAACATCTTAATTCCTCAGGAACTGTAAAAAATATAGAATAATAGGAGTCTGAATTTGGTCTGACCCTCAAATTTCAGTGCTGGGAGTTTCTTTGTGATATTAGAAGAGCTTTGTGCATGGTAGCTAATATTTCTGGATCAGGTACAGAAGTGGAATCATGTGAAATGGAAAAATATAACAGTAACCACAGAACAGATTTGTCTGCCATTAAAGAAATTTTCAATTCATATGCTGCAGACAGACATGGAGCAGCCAGTAGCAATGCCTTTTAACCAAATGTATGTGAAGATAATAACCTGTTTGTGTAGAAATTGATTGATTCCCAGAACTGTTGAGCAAATTAGTAATGTAAAAGCAACAGCAGCTTAATCTGGGTATTAAAATTGCAGCTGCATAGTAAAACAAAAGAAACAAACTGCTGCAGATGAAGGGTAGTTAAGTAGCTCTGCAATACCTTAAGGCAAAAATATTTGTCTATGAAATTTGAACTGTTTTCTGCTCTTCTGAGAGAGACTAAATGTAGATCCTAAACACAGAAATCATCTGCAGCACTAAACCCACAGTATTGTAGCTGTAAGTAGGATTGTTAGTTTTGTGTTTTGAGCAGAGAAGGTCCAGCTGCTGCCTTTGCTGTGAACACCTGATCATTTAGGGCCTGATTCAGTTTGTTGGTACCATTCTGGTACCAAGCCCATTGCACAGAGCATTTATCCCATGCAGAAGACAGGCAAGACCAGAAAGAAGGTACAAGCAGCCTGGCTGAGATGGGATAGAGGATTTATCAGCTGTGAAATCTGCACATGCTTCTATGTGTTTTAGCTCTGTTTAGCAACCACCCATAGGAAAAATCAAAGGGCAATTCCCTTGGTTTGACCACCCATTTAGCTCTGCCCCCTCTCCTCCCCAACAGCTAGCAATTTGCCAGGAAGCCCTTGGCAGCTGTTGATCCATCTTGCCAGCAAGTTTTAGGATGCTCAACTCCCTTCTTTCTACCTCACACCCTCACAGGAGCTGCTCAATTTAGACACCAAAGGCAGGGACTCCAAGAAAGTGCACATGCCTTGCCTGCGGTTTAGCAGACCTGGCAACCAGGACTTTTCCACCTCCTCAGGCCCTCAGCAATACTTTTATGTTACCTTTCCATAAAGCTAAGGTTAAAATCAATGATTCATAGAAAGAGCCCATAGAATGTAGCTGATAAAACCAGGATGTGGGTAGAAAGCCTTCATCAGTCTTGAAGAAAAGCACTGAAGGGGAAGTAGTGGGGTGGGGGGGAAGGAATGGAAAATTTGCTTGCGAGTGCTTGCGGACTACCACAAAAATCATCACAGGCAATGAAATACAAGCAGATGTGGAAAACAGGTTAGTGCTGCCAGGGGTCACCTTGAATGGGGACATTCATGACTGACTAACAGGATGGCAGGGAGAAGCAAGGCCAAACTGTTGAACTTGCACACAAAGCTATCCTCCAATAGGTAAAAGACGATTTTAAGGCAATATGAATTGGGATTACAAAAATTTTATTTTGGCTTATTTCACCTTAGCACCAAGGGTACACTGTTCCTGGTCAGCCTTGATGGCACGTGTAGCAAAAGCTGATCAGTGAACGCTGTTGTTGGGGGCTCTCCTTGCCCTCTCTGAGCTCTTCCTGACAGCTCATCAGCAGTACTATCTCTTCAACAATGCCACCGCAGCAGCAGCAGCAGCACCGGTAAGAAGAGTTACTGCTGCTGCTGCAGCACCGTCCTTAGCGGCTTCTTTGGCTTCTTCGACCTGCAAAAGGAAAGCAAAATACAGGCTGGAAACATGAGTAGCACTTATATTTACACCACCCAGCCCTCAACCTCCACCCCCACATGATAACATAGACTAGGCAGGGACAATCAGGGTGAATAAAGCAGTGGGACACATGTGCCCCAGCAGCAGAAGGGGCAACACCC